ACCTGCCATTCACTCACAGAACAATAAGCTGATCATACATAGGCCCCCCATTGTCCCTGATTGGGAACTGTCCCTAAATCCTCCTCCACAGTCCCTCCTGTAGCTCTGACGTGGAAATACACGAACTGTTTACCTGCCACAGTGTCTTGTAATAAACTGTTTATACATCATACAGATGATTGCAATGATGATTTATACATTCTACTAGAAAAGAAAAGCCCCAATGGGTGACCAATCATTAAAGAGACCCTGTCACCAACTTTTAAAAAAAATGCATTTAAAGGAAAAGCACTTGCAATGCGCCTTTGGACTTGCTAGAAAATCTGACAACTTCGGGGCCAGTCAATTCCTTAGCACAGCCAACTCATAGCCCTTTCCTATTCTGGGAGTGTCTAGTTACTGTCTGTGCTGGCCTAGCTCTTTCTTCCCTTCCTACAAAACCTATGATGTAGCTGCTGGGGGGGGGGGGGAAGAGCAGGGGTAGTCAACCTTGGCACTCCAGCTATGGTGAAGCAACAAATCCCATCATGCTTCTGCCTCTGGGAGTCATGCCTGTGGCTATCAAGAGTCTTGCAATACCTCATGGGACTTGTAGTTACGCAACGGTTGGCGTGCCAAGGATGACTACCCATGCTGTAGAGCAGCGGTAGCCAAACTCCGGCCCCACAGCTGTGGTGAAACTACAAATCCCATGATGCATCTCTCTCTCTCTGGGAGTCATGCCCGTGGCTGTGAGAATCTTGCAATGCCTCATGGGATTTGTAGTTCCACCGCAGCTGGAGGGCCGGAGTTTGGCCACCCCTGCTGTAGAGTGTCGCTTAAGTGACAGCTCCGGGGCTGCTGACATCACATCCAACATGGCGGCACCCAGCAGCAGTCTCGGGGGGGTGGGGTGGGGGGTCCTTTGCTTAATTATTCTGTGCTTAAAGCCGTCCCTGCTTCCCATCTGAGAAGGTGTCATGTACCTTCCGTGTCCTCTGCACCCTATCCCACCATCATACCCATCCTCTGCACCCCATTCCACCATCATACCCGTCCTCTCCACCCCATCCCACCATCATACCCGTCCTCTGCACCCCATTCCACCATCATACCAATCCTCTCCAATAACACCAGCTATACAGGAATACATCAGATTCCAGCAATAATACATTATATACAGCACAATGCAGAATACCAGCAGCTACAGAGGACTACAAATCCCAGCAATAGTACATTATAGTAATTACTATTGCTGGGATTTGTTGTATACCTCTATAGCTGCTGGTATTCTGCACTGCGCCGCTGTATAATGTACTATATTGCACACCGCACTTTTTTTTTGCTTCCACCGCACCAGGCTTGCTCCCTTGATGGACTACAATCTCAAAACAAACTAGTAGTCCATCACTGGAGCCTTTTTTTTTTTATCCGATTAATCGAACTTAACAATCGGCTAACTAATCGATTTTGAAAATAATCGTTAGCTGCAGCCCTACTGCGATGTTACTAATATTTATTAGGGCTGGTAATGATCAACATTTTCGTGTTCGATTAATCGAAAATTTTTTAAATCGATTAATTTCGATTAATTATAACGCACATACAGATCCAACTACATTGGCCTATACACATACCGCACAGCAATGAAGTAATACAATGAACTAGGATCACAGTAATCCAGCACGTTATTCATCTCACGTGCCCCACCCAATATGGCCGCCGCTTGAGTGGGGCAACTCAGAATAATAACGTGCTGGATGAGTGTGATCCTAGTTCATTTTATTACTTCATTGCTGTGCTGTATGTGTATAGGTCATTGCTGTGCTGTATGTGTATAGGTCATTGCTGCGCTGTATGTGTATAGGTCATTACTGCGCTGTATGTGTATAGGTCATTGCTGTGCTGTATGTGTATAGGTCATTGCTATGCTGTATGTGTATGGGCCGATGCCGCGGCTGGAGCTCGTGCAGAAAGTTTCTCGAGCAAACTCACCGGCCCAAGTGGCTCGGTCGGCTAACGAAGGGAAGGGGGGAGGAGTCTGGGGACGTCGATGTCCGTGGCGGCTAACGAAGGGAAGGGGGGAGGAGTCTGGGGACGTCGATGTCCGTGGCGGCTAACGAAGGGAAGGGGGGAGGAGTCTGGGGACGTCGATGTCCGTGGCGGCTAACGAAGGGAAGGGGGGAGGAGTCTGGTGACGTCGATGTCCGTGACGTCACCGGACTCCTCCCCCCTTCCCTTCGTTAGCCGAAGGAGCCACTTGGGGAGGGGGGAGGAGTCCAGTGACGTCACCGGTCTCCTTCCCCCTTCCCTTTGTTAGCCGCCATGGACATCGACGTCACCGGACTCCTCCCCCCTTCCCTTCGTTAGCCGCCACGGACATCGACGTCACCAGACTCCTCCCCCCTTCCCTTCGTTAGCCGAAGGAGCCACTTGGGGAGGGGGGAGGAGTCCAGTGACATCACCGGACTCCTTCCCCCTTCCCTTCGTTAGCCGCCACGGACATCGACGTCACCGGACGCCTCCCCCCTTCCCTTCGTTACCTGAAGGAGCCACTTAGGGGAGGGGGGAGGAGTCCGGTGAGGTCGATGTCTGTGACGTCACCCGATCGCCAACGGGACTCCCGGAAGCCGGCGGAGAGGTGAGTGTTTTCATTAGCGATCAAAATTATTTTAATCAATCAAAACGTTTAACGATTAATCGAGAAATGAATCTTTAATTTCCACAGCCCTACTTTATTTATTTATTTTTATTTCAAACTGCCTACAAGTAAATTTTTCCAAATGCTTTTATTTCGGCAGCCAACCAGGACAGCATGGAAGGACTGACATCCTGCCTCAATGACATGCTTGACAGTATGAAGGCAGCGCAAGCCAAGCTGGACAGCGATCCCTTTTCGATGGGAGACTTTTTGAAGCGAGCAGGCGCCGTCAACGCTCAACCGACGGTCGTGCTGGGGAAAAAAAAGTACCCGTGTGATTTGTGCGGGCGCTGCTTCTCCGACCCCTCCAACCTGAGACGCCACAAGCACATCCACACGGACCTGAGGCCTTACGCGTGCGACGCGTGCGGCAGCAGCTTCCGGCAGAAGTCTCAGCTCGACCGTCACCGCTTAGTGCACACCGGGGAGCGACCTTTCCAATGCTCCCACTGCATGAAGGGATTCCGCGATTCCACCGAGCTGAGGGTCCATCTTCGGGTTCACACGGGAGAGCGACCTTACAGCTGTTCGGTGTGTCGAAAAAGTTTCTCCCGTATTTGTTATATGAAGCGCCATCAGGAGAAGCACACTAATAAAGAGTTACTACGGAGACCCGAGAAGAGACGTATAGCCACGCCCACCAATGAGAACGAGGAGCTCGCTGAGGAATACCAGTGTTCTTACTGCAGTCATTGGTTCTTGACCAAGCAAGAGCTTGAAGACCATCGCTCCGCGCACTTAAAGCTTGGACCCGCAGGTCAGAAGCTTTACGAGTGTGCGCAATGTAAGAAGTCCTTCAACAACTCTTCCAACCTGAGGAAGCACGCCGTCATTCACACAGGCCTAAAGCCCTTCACCTGCAACCTGTGCAATCAAAGTTTCCGGCAAGCCACCCACCTTCAGCGCCACCGCTTGGTCCACACGGGTGAAAAACCTTTCAAATGCTCCATCTGCCTCAAGGGTTTCCGAGACGCTAGCGACCTACTAAAGCACCAACGCATTCACAAGGGGAGCATACCATATCCAGGCCGGGCCTTTGAAAAGAGCTTTAAGAACTTGCAGAAGGCCGGGCTGCACAGGGAACCACGGGCAAGGGAAGGGTTCGGGTTAGAAGACCACCCTCTGCCTTCTTCTCGTTCTGCTCACTCGTCCGATTCTGAAGATGAAGTGGAGGAGCTTAAATCCAAATGCTTCGGCGCCGAGCTCCCTTGTGACAAAGAACGTAAGGCAGATGAAGCAGAAGAAAGCAAGCGGGTTTTGCAGTGCAGCCTTTGCTCCAGGACTTTCACCCGTATCTCCAACCTGCACAAACACTACTTGATGCACACGGGCTACCGGCCTTTCAGCTGTCGCACTTGCAGTAAGACTTTCCAGCAGATGTCCCACCTCCGTCGGCACAAGCAGGTTCACAGGCGGGAACAACGCTATGACTTCACCACTCTCCATAAAGCTGTCCACGTATCTAATGACCTTCTCTGTCAGCGGGAGGCCCACGCGAAAGGCAAAGCGTTCAGCTGCCACAAGTGCGATCAGACTTACACGCAGATTCATTACCTAGAGTCACATCAGAAGAGCCACGTGCAGGACTCGTTTTTGGAAACTGAGATTCCAACTGACATTGACGAAGGCAACTCCATTGAAGTTGTTTTGATCTGACGTGATCACTTTCACAGCACTTATGCGTTTGCTTTATTGGACTGAGGTGGCAAATTTCGCAAACGATGGAGACAGCTGAACAGAATCCAAGTAGACTTTTCCATATAAAAATACTGAGTGTTTGTAGATAATTGAGGACAGAGTATGGGTACTATATAATAAAAATAAAATATTTAAAAAATTTGAAAACATTTAAATAAAAAAAAATTGGTTTCGGCCTGACAATTTTTTTTATTTCGGTTTTGTTTTGGGTTTTAAAAATGTCCATTTCGGTGCACCTCTTGTATCTGCTTGTAACTTGTAACTTTAAACCATTGCTTTACCTTCTTGCTTCATTGGCATTCATTGGTTCTTGAAGGAGCAGTGGTGTATCCAGGGCATGGCACATATGGCACATGACCTGGGCGCCACTTGAAGCTGACTTTTTTTCTCTCATACACATCTCCCCGGCCGGTGTTCTATCGATAGTCCCAATTTATCAAGTTCTGGGACTGCATGACTTCCACTTTCCTTAGAACTACGAGGTTTGCCCAAGAAAGTTCTTCTGCACGAGCGCCATCCGCGACATTCCTCTATACACATACACCACAGCAATGAAGTAATAAAATGAACTAGGATCACAGTAATCCAGCACGTTATTAATCTGAGGTGCCCCACTCAATATGGCCGCCGCTTGGGTGGGGCAACTCAGATTAAAAATGTGCTGGATTACTGTGATCCTAGTTCATTTTATTACTTCATTGCTGTGGTGTATGTGTATAGAGCAATGGCGCTCGTGCAGAAGAACTTTTTAGTTTAAACCTCGTAGTTCTAAGGAAACCGGAAGTCAGGCGGTCCCAGAACTCGATAAGTTTGAACTTTCGATCGGTCACCGGCCCTTAGCAACCAGGGAAGCTCTGGCCAGCGTCCCACCCAGCTCCTGGCAACCAGCGACATTAGCGGTTGCCAAGAGCGGGGTGGGAACGTCGGTCAGAGCGTCCCAGGTTGCTGAGAGCCGGCCCGGGGAGATGTGTGTGGCCCTTACACATCTCCCCGTCTGTCTCTTAGCAACCTGGGACTCTCTGGCTGGCGTCCTGCCCAGCTCCTGGCAACCAGTGACATCACTGGTTGCCAGGAGTTGGGCAGGGGGTAGATACGCCTCTGTGTAGGAGTGGTACCTATAATGGACTACAAGTCCATTGTGCCTAGTGGTGGCCTGGGCCTGGGGGCAGCCGATGGGTTGCCTGGGGCTCTCTTGATGTAAATGACTATTAATGTGATCTTATATTTTTCCATAATGTTTCAATACTTCTGTCAATTGTTTTTGGCTTCCTTACATTGCTCAAAAATAAAGGCACCCTGATGACTATTGTTCAGCATGTGCATAGCACTCGTATATTACACTTGATTTATTTTGATTATTGGTGTCAGA